GCCTCACAGCGAGAAGAAGCGACTCTTTGGCGGAAAGGCGTTCCATTTCCTTGGCGTACGCGGCGGGGGCACCCTGAACGGTTTGCTGAACCATGGCTCTGCAACTCCATCTCCTGGTTGAGCCTCTCTGGGGTGGAAACAGTGTCACCGAAGAAGAGGAAGCATAAGAGGATTTGGAAGAGGAAGATGGGACGCACGTGGCGATGGCGGAAATGCAAGAAGCTGAAGCAGCCATTGACATTGCTTGAAGGAACGAATGAGTGGGATGTGTGTGTTAAGTGTTAAAGAGTGCTCCAATTTGTCATGACTCATGAATGGTTGAAAAATAGTAAATAAATGACTGAGAAACAACACAAATGGGGTTTTTACTCCAAAGTTTCCAATTTCAACTTCTTTTGTCCTAATCCTAACCTCACTCCCGAGACACAGGGCCACGTTGGTTTCTGTTTTCGGAGAGTCTGGTATTAACGTGTTTGTAAACGACACATAGATATGTGAAATGGATCTGGCAGACCGGTTTAGCCTTACCTAAACAGAGTGTTAGGATAAGTTGATTTAGTGTATTTTTCTTTAAAAAATTATACATCCTCCGAAAGTAACCTCCGAAAAGCATTTTGAAAATTAAAATATTAATTTAAATTATAAAATATTAAATTATATAATTATTTTATAATAAATTTATTAAAAAATATTAATAAAATATTATTCGAAACATGATTCGGCCTCCATTTTCGGAGGCTGGAGCAATGTTTTTTTTCTTTTTTTGGATGGTCATTTTATTTACCTATTTTATGTCCGAGCATCGAGTTATCGGCACAAATTAGTCTAATTAAATAAAATATATTTAAAGTTAAATATGTTTTATAATGAAAATTTTTTTTAAAAAAATTATAACATGATTAATTGATATTAAATACTATTATGAAATACTTAATAGTTTTATACAATTTCTTGCGATGATTGCATTTGTATTTATTCATTTCATCAATTAGACTAACTTTCTTCTTTATAGTTTCATATCTTAGCGATATTATATTTAGATTTAGTTTTTTTAGCCTTCTTGATATTTTGGTCTTGCTTAATAATAAATCTAATATTATTTTTATTATCGATAATAATATCAGAAGGAATAATAACACAATAATAGGCTCTTTCTTTGTATTAGGTGGAGTTGATGGAGATTCATTATATCTAAATCATTATCCATGTTATCAAAAATGTCATCAATATTAATGCCTATGATATTCAAAATTAAACAAGTTAACTTATTTAGTTTAAAGATACCACAATGGGTTATAAAGTAAAAACAAACAAACATGATTTTTAGTTCAATTCACAAACAACAACAATAATCTATAAAGCAGCACCAAACCAAAAAGTAACAAGTTAAACTTTATTACACAATTCTCGGTCCATAATTTCACACAACACAAGTCTTAAAAGAGATGACAAGTTATGAGATCAAACCATCAAGGGTGTAAGGAGAGTAGTAAAACTAATGACGAATCCAATAAGTTAAAGTTATGTGAGCAACTCAACCAAATGTATAAATGCGTAATACCAAAAATCTTATAAAAATTGGAAACTGAAACGTGATATTTTTTTATTATAGTTATAAATATATAATTGAACAATCATTTAATTATTTATTTCTCGTGCATTTTCTCATTTTATTTTTTATGATATTTATAAAGAATATTGAACAAAAGAAGTGAAGCATGGCATGAATCTTGTGGTGAACAATTATTTTTTTTTATATTTTTTAATTACATATTATCTTCATGTGATAATTATTATATTCATTATTTATATTATGAAACAATTAATTTGATAATTTTTTAACTAAAATATGAAACATTAAAAAAAATATAGCAACAAGTATAACATACAAGATTAAAATTTTCAAAAATTAAAATTAAAAAAAACAAAAAAGAAACTCAAAGCAATTTTTTTAATAAATTAAATTATGTTATCTTTAATTATTACAAAAAGCAAGGATTTTTCATTAAAAAAATGTAGTATATTAATAGCAAAATTTAAAGATAATTTTGAGAAAAAAAAAGTGAAGACAATTGTTTAATAGAATAAAAAGCAAATAAAAAAGTAAAATACCAATATAGTATATATATATATATATATATTATAGTAGGACAATTAAATATAATAACACATGTAAAAGATAAAGGAGATGTGAAATCGTAGTGGGGACATTTGTCTTCATTGTACTTGTTGTACAATCGTCTTTGGGCTAAATTCTCACGACGACTAACTCAAACTTTAAGTTTTTAATCATAACTTTGTAGGCAAACACAAAAGAGTGAAATATTATTACTATTACTATATTTTATTTTATTCTATTATTTTTAATACATTGCAAATTTACAAATTGACATTAGTTTATATTATTTCATTTATTAGTTTAACAGGTCAGTTTATAAGTTTACGGGCTAGCTTGACCTAAGATGACTTGGCTTGTCAGATTTAACAAGTCAGGTCAAAATAATCCGATTCTATTTATCATTTTTAAGGCTCAGTCTGGCCTTATTTGTGGGTTGGTCAAATCAACCCATCGAGTCAAACCCAAATTGAAAGGCCTACTCACATCGATAACATTAATTTCCATTTATATATGTATTGAAATACTAGCATATAATAATAATTGTTAGGTCAAAAGATAAATTCAAGAGACGATCTTATATCTCTTAGGCTATAAGTTTTAATGATAATAAACTTGGACATTTTTTGAGAGAAAAGGTTTTAAGATCATACTATAAGACAAATAGTAATAAGACAATAAGTTATTATGACATTAACTCTCTTAAACGAAGCACTTCATTTGTAATACAAAAGCTTTATATTTATATATCATTTATGATGTATGATAATCAAATCATCTTTGTCTATGTTATTTCTTAATAAATCGAAAGGAATAAAGAGCTTCTTTAGTACTCACACTTCACAAAAGAACATAACCATGCTTTGCGTAAGAAAAAAGGACTAGCATATCCCTAAAAATATGTGAAAGGTAAAAGAAAAGTTATTTTTGAATGACACGCATGTAGTTCCTCTTTTTTGGTACCAAAAAGGTGATAAGTAATTTTTTTGATTAGATAAGAAGTGACAATTTAATAAAAATGCTTTTAATACTCACATTTAATGCACCAACGGACATTTCTCTCCACAAGAAATGAAGATGAAGACAAACAAAGCAAACTTGTGAGAGGTTCCCAAGGATTTGCAGTGATCATCTTCACGAATCACCTATATAAAGAAATTTAAAGATTTAGAAAGAATAAAAATAACAAATGTAAAACAAAAAAAAATTATTCATTTTTTTTAAAAAAAATTGTACTACTTAATTAGTTATATCACGTCTTGATAGTAAGACGAAACAACATAGTTATTTCTCAGCTTTAACTTTGTGTTATTACTTTGAGCTTGAAGAGGTTTAATTGCACTACTAGAAAAATGGAAAAATAATACATAAAGGAAAT